CCTTCACCAAACTTAAAGTGATTCATAATAATTTCTCAAGAGCTACACGAGAAAAGTCACCCGAGGTGAGAGAATCCGACATGTTGAGCATAAATGAGGGATAAACACGGATGTGGGAATTCAAATTCAAATCATGTCAAATGCTCGAAACGGAAAAAGAAACTCAAATGGAATATGAGATAAATTTCTATTTTAAAAAGGTATCCAGTTGCTGAGTTTCCAAGCTGAAGATTGATTACATTTGAGAAGAAGTTAATAACCATACGTAGTTTGAGATTTTAACATGCTGAAATGGACAACCTGTCTATAAACAAGCACGATTTGCATATCCGACGGGTTGATCAAGAATGTCAGTTTATGGCATTTTTTTCGGCTTTCATTTATACAAACTTAAAAAGGCTAGTGAAAAGAAAACACATGTTGATAATTTTGAGGATACACAACAACATTCTCAGCTACTGAGAAAATATCTACTAAATTAAAGTCGTTGTGCGTGAACCGTTAAGCGGGCAAATCTATGCAGATAATGCCGAAAAGAGGCTCTTAAAAACGTTTGATCACGTCCAACCCAGAACGATACCCGCACCTTTGACTTTATTTTCTGACAGAATAAGGTAAGATCTTTGCTGTGAAGTGCATTTTACCTGTGATTTTTGTACCGCTTTGGAGATTTTAGCTTTTACTTTGGAAGAATTTGTCAAGAGGGAAAAAAAAACGCAAAGGGGCTTGTGTTTGATGTTATTAATTTAATTTAATTTTGTGTCAAGTTATTCCATATTCCGTCATAGGACAAGCCAACTGCAGCTAAATCCATTGTACTATGTAGAATTTCGCGATATTTATCCGTTACGAAGAAGCGCGGCTTTTAAATCACCGAATTTCGGCCATGGAATAAGGTTGAAAAAGCGCTCTCAGACAGGAAAGAAGTTTTGTGCTGTAGCGAAGCCCAGAAAAGGATTTTGAAAAAAATTAGTTCGATTTTAATCATTCCTCATTAAGTCCTTTTCACCCACAAAAAACAAAGGGAAGGTTTACTGGCGATCCCAAACTCGCCGGACCGCTCTTAGGTGGACAACCACTTAAATAAAAACGTGAGTCAACCATTCTGGCCAAATTCAAGCGAGAAATGATGATACAATAACATAAATACTGTATTCAATATATACTGTGTGGCATTTCGCCACCCCATTTTTAGTTTTCTTTTCTTTCCTGGACTCGACAATGAGTGGTCACGTGACACAGATATCTACCGGTTTTATCCGAGGTTGCCAAATTTTGTAAGGTTCTGATAAATTTTCACAAATTTATGACCATTATAAGATTTTATGCAAATTAGCCTCGGGCCATGCCTTAATATGCTTGAGTCTGTCCGAGGACCCTCAAGCGACGATGAAATGTGATCTTCATGCAAGATATAATAAGGCAAGTGCTTAGCTCCTCGTGCGTTCAAAATAATTTGTGGACTTCCCACGTTCGAGTTTATAACCTCCTCTTTTCAAACCAAATTATCTATAGAAAGTTCCCTCTTTCTTAAACTTAATTGTAATATATTCCTATACATAATTATTTGCGTTCTACTGATAGGTTTTCTTTATAGTCTTAAATCATTATGTATGTATTTTTATTTTATTCGCGCATTATTGTAAAAACTAATATAATGTACATTTGGTATTTGTAGCTATACATGAGCAGGAGATCTCAGCAAGCCCTGCTGAGCCTTTCAGAGGAGATTCCCAACTTTACTTATCAATTAAATTACTAACATATTGTTTGCCACTTAATATTACAAGTTATAAAATAACTGAGATAGTAGGCGTGATCTGATTGGTCAAAAACCTATGGTTTATATAGAGAATAATACATGGTCGCGCGGAGATATGGAATTTATCTTCGAGTGTTCACATCGATATCGAACGAGTGAGCGTAGCGAACGAGTGAGATATCGAATGTGAACACGAGAAGATAAATTCCATATCTCCAAGCGTCCATGTATTATTCTGTTTATTATATAAACATACTGATGACGGCGTTTTTGATGATTTTCCGAAGATTTCCGACCACCTTCCGAAGATTTCCGAAGATTTTTCAAATTGTGCCGAAGACCAGACGAACGTTCCCGAACATTTTCCGAGAATTTCCGAAAATTTCCGAAGATGACCGAAGATTTCCGAAGATTGCCGAGCACTTTCGAGGAAGACCCGAAGATGTTTCGATGATACACCAACGAATTTAAGTACAATTTAAGAGACAAACCTGATGTCAGTGAAATTATCGATATCTTCACATGTAAAAATGTCGTATTTTTACGTGTGTTCAGATACCACATTTCTCGGTGGTAGAAATCCTTGTAAAACACTGCAGTTTATATAATAATATACCGGTAAACCCATAGAAAAAGGCATCCCGACCACGAGCCATAAACAAAACCGGCTATTGATCTGCAAACAACGATTTTAGAAAGGCAAAAAACAGAACAAGTTACTTACCCAGCCCTTCTTACTATTAAAAGCGTTGGTTTCCACATTTTATTACTGAGCGTCACAATTCGCTACTGCCATAGCTTTAGAAGTTATAAAGTACAAAGCTGGAAAACAGTTTACATTTCACGACGATGCCAAATCGCAGAGAAAGATTTTATTTTATCTCAAACTTAAATTTCTTAATGAAAGAAATTGTTCCAAAAAGAGATCTCTGATCAAGATATGGTACAAAATCGGCCGCTGTAGGTTGTAAACAAGCTGCCAACGATGATGAAAGATGTCAGAGTTTCGGGCTGGTTTTTTCCAACATTTGCACAAATTATTCCGTGATATCGATGCCATAACCTACCTCAAACCACCTCACTTCACGAATCGACAAATATTAACGCCAATATGTGGCTACGGCAAAGAAACCTTTCTCCACAACTGACATATTTCCATAAAGTTACATGCAACAACTTCGCAAATGCAGCCACGTCGTTACCGCAGCATTTCTTGATCATAATAAAGTCCAGAAAACAGATCTTAAACCACTGCGGCTTGTAAAAAGTGAATGAAGTCCTCTATTACAATAGCTGTCAGTTCCGTCTGTAAAAACGAAATTCTTACGGATCAACTCAACAAAATAGAGCTGCGTACAGTCTGATGTTCAATTAATTTCTACTTCTGTAGTAAACAAACCATGAACGTATTCTTTCATTGTACGTTCGCATGAATATATACCTGCCAACTTTTTCTGAGATATGAGCGTGAGATTTTTATCCTGGGAGTTCTGGGATTTTTGCAGACGACACGATCATTTCCGAAGATTCCCGAAGAAGTCCGAAGTCTTCCGAAGACGTCCGAAGTCTGCCGAAGGCGAAGTTATCGAGAAAACGCTTATCCACAAAATCAGAGATCGCGAGGAAGGTATTGTTATTTATTCATTTACAAATGGTTTTCGTTCCTTACATGGGTCTGAGTTAACATATTTTTGGAAATTGTGTCAAGCAAGACGGCAACACTTGCTTGCTCACATTTTTCAATCAGGCGTGAGAAACTGGCCCGCAGGCGTGAGCCGGCGTGAGATCGAAGTTTTCAACCCGCAGGCGTGAGACTCACTCCTAAGGCGTGAGAGTTGGCAGGTATATGAATATGTGTTGACTTTTCCTGTAAAACAGCTTTCATAAGTTATCATGTAATGAGTGCAAAAACTCGTGTTTTGAAGTGCTGCTGTTTGTTGTTTGACTGAACTGAGTTTTGAGAAAGTTCAACGCTATTAAATCGTGAGTCATGATTGGCTTATGATGACTTTGGAAAGAAGACGTGACTTGATCACGGTACTAGAACCATCTTTTTTACCTAAAATACTCCATTCTACTGAAAGTTATTTTATAAAAGCAATAGACCACACTTTCTATGGGTTTACCGGCGTGATAACCCACTTAGGATGTTGGGAGAACACTCGAAAAGCTTGTAAATCACTCGCCTTCGGCTCGTGATTTACAAGCTTTTCTCGTGTTCTCCCAACATCCGCGTGGGTTATCACGCCGGTAAACCCATAGAAAGTGTGGTCTATTGCTTAAATAAACTCTATCGAATTTTTAATGAAATGATGCAAGCTTATCAATGTTAGGAATTTTAATGTACTGTCACATGCCTTTCAACCTTTTAGACGTTCTTTTAATTCTTCCAATATAGTTGTTCCTAACTTAAAATTCTACAAGAGAAAGCACCTTTTTCAAAAATGCAAAGAAACCTAAAAACTAAAAGATTTCTTGTAACTACAAGACTGCATGCAGATACATGTTTTATAGACTTAGATTTCAACAAACAGAACTCATGATCATTTACTTCAACAAGTTAACTGCTTTTAAATGTAAGTAGCTTTATTCTGACGATCCGGGTAACCGAAATCTTTCGTAACTTTGTATTCCTGGGTAAGTCCATTTAACCGAAACAGAATGTTTCGTGGAATCACAGCTACGATAGCATCAGCTTAATTTACAATTTTAAATGACACCTGACCAGACCACAGAGTCGTTACGTATAAGAAAAAGCTTTACATTTTGAAGAAAACCTTATTGTATTCGTAGCTATTTCTTAAGCCAAAAGGTTATTATTATTAACGTTTCTAACTGGCTTCCTTATTTTTTTATTTAAGATTAACTCTATTTCCGTAGAACTATTTGCTAATTATTCTGGTCTTGTTTTTTTACCTGTTTATGTTTTAGAAAAGACCCAAATGGGCAATGTTCAAGAAGCTATTCACCATGGCATAATTGCCGCCGATTTTCTTTGGACCACTAAACGAGTTGTCCAGGCTATCGAGCTGTGGAACGAGTGCTTAACACTACTAAACAACAAAATCTTAGAAAACAAACATAAACTTGCCACAATAGTGCGTATAGCGCTGAACAAGAGGCTGTTTTATGGAAATGCTGCTATTACGAAACTTTCACCCGCTATAGAATCTGGCAAAAAGCTTTTAGTCCTACTTCGTAATCTTAGGAGAAAGAAAAAGAAGGTAACACAGCCTTGATGTTATCAAAACTGTACTTCCAAAAAAGTGAATACCAGGAAGCACAAGCAGTCCTCAAAATTGCACTCTGCGTTTACAAACAAATCGAAGACAAAGACGGAGAAGCGACATGCTACGTAAACCTAGGAGCTGTGTTTCAATCTGTCGGAGAATATGCCAGTGGTGCAGAATATCTTCATAAAGCACTTACCATCAACACAGAAATTGGCGACAGACAGGGAGAAGCGACATGCTACGGAAACCTAGGAAATGTGTTTAAATCTGTCGAAGAATATGCCAATGCTGCAGAATATCTTCATAAAGCACTTACCATCAACACAGAAATTGCCGACAGAAACGGAGAAGCGACATGCTACGGAAACCTAGGAGCTGTGTTTGTAAATGTAGGAGAATATGGCAAGGCTGAAGAATATCTTCATAAAGCACTTACCATCAGCACAGAAACTGGCGACAGAGAGGGAGAAACGACATGCTACGGAAACGTAGGAGTTGTGTTTAAATCTGTCGGAGAATATGCCAAGGCTGAAGAATATCTTCATAAAGCACTTACCATCAAGACAGAAATTGGCAACGGAGTGGGAGAAGCGTCATGCTACGTTAACCTAGGAAATATGTTTCAATCTGTCGGAGAATATGCCAAGGCTGAAGAATATCTTCATAAAGCACTTACCATCAAGACAGAAGTTGGCAACAGAGTGGGAGAAGCGACATGCTACGGAAACCTAGGAAATGTGTTTGAATCTGTCGGAGAATATGCCAAGGCTGAAGAATATCTTCATAAAGCACTTACCATCAACACAGAAATTGGCCACAGAAAAGGAGAAGCGAGATGCTACGGAACCCTAGGAAAGGTGTTTCAATCTGTCGGAGAATATGCCAAGGCTGAAGAATATCTTCATAAAGCATTTACCATCAGCACAGAAATTGGCGACAGAGACGGAGAAGCGTCATGCTACGGAAACCTGGGAAAGGTGTATCAATCTGTCGGAGAATATCGCAAGGCTGAAGAATATCTTCATAAAGCACTTACCATCAACACACAAATTAGCAACAGAAACGGAGAAGCGTCATGCTACGGAAAGCTAGGAGCTCTGTTTGTACATGTAGGAGAATATGGCAAGGCTGAAGAAAATCTTCATACAGCACTTACCACCAACACAGAAATTGGCGACAAAGACGGAGAAGCGTCTCGCTACCTAAAGCTAGGAAACACATCTCAAGCCTTATCGGATCTCTGGTCAAGCATTCAAATTTACGAAAAAATGCTTACTTCTCTAGGAAGCAAAGATAGCCACAATATATCATTTTTTGACAAGAACGCGTCTCCCTATCGGCTGTTTTGTTCATTGAGTTGTTCTTGTGGGAAACCCTATGAAGCTTTACACGCTGCTGAACTTGGACGGGCCAGAGCTCTAGCAGAACTTATGTCAAATCGCTACTCCATTGAAAAAGAAATATCCATCAACCCACAATCGTTTGTTGGCATCGCGGAAGTAATTAAGAAAAATGGCAACAGCACCTGCCTCTACATCTCCTATGACTACGATGACAACATATTTTTGTGGGTTTTGAAACAAAACAAACCGGTAGCTTTCCGAAGAACGAAACTTTGTGAAAGCTATGTTAGCAAGCATGGCAAAATCTCTGTGCATGACCTGTTTGGAAACGAAAGCTTATTAAGAAAATTTCACGTTTTACCTCAAGAGCAATGCGAAGACCGATCACTCTTCTCTTCATTCGCCAACCAACTTACAAACGGATCAAATCTGGAAGATAGTCTCTCAACCTTGCGTCCTCTTTTAGATGAGGGAGAAGTATACACGGACCCTGAACCGCCAACACTTTTTCAGGTTTACAACATGTTGATTGCTCCCGTGAGTGACTTGCTTGAAGGATCTGAAATCATTGTTGTTCCTGATCGCTGCTTCTTCCAAGTTCCGTTTGCAGCATTACACGATGAAAGTAGCCGCTATTTATCAGATTCTTTCAGGATACGAATTGTCCCTTCTTTGACGACTCTCAAGCTCATTCTGGACAGTCCAGCCGACTCTCACAGCGAAACTGGTGCATTGATTGTGGGTGAGCCAAGAGTGACGGATGTGTATTTCAAGGGAGTGTTAAGGTATCTCTGTCCATTGCCTGGCGCGAAAGGGGAAGCAGAGATGATTGCGAGACTACTACCTGAATCTCACCTTTTAATAGGAGAGCAAGCAACAAAGCGGGCGGTTCTTCAGAGAATACCCTCAGTGAGCCTCGTACATTTCGCTGCTCATGGTGATGCCGAAAGAGGAGAAATTGCTCTTACCCCCGCTGACTCCACAGTGGAGTTTCCACACGAAGCAGACTACTTACTGTCAATGACCGACATTTCACAAGTTAGACTGTCAGCCAAACTGGTGGTCCTCAGTTGTTGCCATACCGCACGTGGACAGATCAAAACAGAAGGCGTTGTTGGAATCGCTCGAGCATTCTTAGGATCGGGTGCACGCTCAGTGTTGGTGGCATTGTGGGCCTTACAAGACAGAACAACAGAGGAGTTCATGGGACGATTCTTCGAAAACCTTGTCCAAGGGAAAAGTGCAAGCGAAAGTCTTCACCGGGCCATGAAGTGGATGCGAAATAACGGTTTCTCAGAAGTGAGGCAGTGGGCACCTTTCATGCTGATTGGGGATGACGTGTCATTTCACTTTGGTGAAGAAAAGTGAAGGTAATTGTTTTCTGACAATTAGAGCCATAGGAAGTCTGTCAGGTCGTTTTGGTATTACAGTTTTATCAACTTGGGTGCATTTGGTACTTTTAAGTACCAAATAGAGAGCAGTATTTACCCTTAAAAGCCACATTATTGACTACATCTGAAGTTAGCTTTTACTATGACTGAGGTAAAATATCAATTAACCGCTTTTTAACATTCGACCACACCTCTGTACTTATCAGTCAACCCGTGCATATGCGGGGCTTTGCATTTGAAAAAAAAAACAAACACACTAAGCCCCGAATCCCTACAACAACACAGAATGATTTAATTCTTTTCTCTCTTTTCTGATATATGAGGCACAAATAATTGAATATTCTTTTATTTGCTACGGTTCAATATGATCGTGAGGGTTTGCTGACAAACTTTTTTCTTTCTGAATATAATAAGAAGAGAATTCCAGTTTTAAATCCGAACCAAACAGCCCAGGGAAGGTTTTTGTTTGATATAAAGATAATCGGATCAAAAATATTATGGCGGAGATCTAGATCTCAGAATTGATCGAAAACACTGCAAAGTACAAATTATGGACTGTGTATGGAGTCTTGACCGTAACTAGAGGGCTTTGCGCTGACACTGACTGAATTACAGAAGTACACTGGTTCTAAACTTGGACCAAAGAGGGAAGACCGCGATTCCATAGGTCATCAAGGCAAGAAGTTTCAAACCTATTTTAGTTGTGCACCCTACATTTCATTTGTGATGCCAATTGATTGGAAAGTTTTAGCGGTGAGATAAACTCAAATAAGTAAACCTCTTCCGCCACGATAAAGCCGGAGGATCTCTCCTCCATGTAAAATGAACCTAAATGCCACTTAGCCCAGCTGGAGTCTTTTGTGTTGAGTAGATGTGTTTTATTAATTTTTGTTTCTTATACATTACTGTTGCAGGTATTACGCTAACGACACACCATGGAATAACGAAACAGCCCTTCCGCAGAATTCCAATGAGGTAGTCCCTGGCGGATAATGTAAAGGATCAATCTCTGCAGCATACGAACATTGATTAAAAGAATTACTGTGAAAGAGAACTGACTTGCTTGGCCCAGCGGTTTATCTTTGCCGGCTTAATTATTTTTCCCACTAATCTTATTTTGTGTGTGTGTGTAGGTACCTTCAGTACTCTAATCTCTAAAATGTCTTGAAAAGCTCAAATCACCAGCTTTGTACATGTAGAAGTGTACATCGGTAGCTCGGACAATGATAAAACTGTAATTGTGACACGAATAACGTTAGGATTAGCGTATCCGAGAAGGTCGCGTATCCGAGAAGGTCGCACATGGAGGTTTGATTGTAATATGTAAATATGTAATCTCACCAGGTTTTTAAACTGAAAATGAAGCGTATTTGAGATAGCAAACTCAACGACGAAACTTTATTGAGCCTTTCGTTATTAAAACCACTAGTGTTTATCCTTAATTATCCATTTGCTCTTTAACAAAAAATATTTCTTATAATATCAGAGAGATTTAGAATCCATTCAGGTCAAACGGCAACGTCAATTTTACGTGACCAAAGTATCATTCTAAAAAAATAAATAAATAAAATTGTAATTTGTAGTTTGTTTTCCCACGGAGCACTCAGAAGTTGTTAAGAACTCGCTTAAACGAGTCCGTGCATTGCGGATCGAAAGGTTGGACGGTTTTTGGAGAGAGGGGAAAACCGGAGCACCCAGAGAAAAACCTCTCGGCAAGGAAGAGAACCAACAACAAACCTACCCTTTCATATACCTGAAGCAAGAAAAAGGTACCCCTGTCGGTCGGAGCCTCACCATAAAGGGCATTATAGGGATCCCCCCTCCCCCCCCGGGGGAAGCGAGGCAAGAGCCCTCACCACTGCACCACCCTTGCGCAGTTTTCGTCAGAAGCCGATTCAGTTGTTGTATCTGCACAAAAAAAGTTAGTAGTTTCATGTCGATCAGTCTAATCCATAACAATTATTTTGCAAAGTTTGTAACTGTTCGTTTCCTAACTCAAGAAATCGAAAATGTCACCTTGGGTCTGAATGTTTGCCGTTTGCCGTAACTCTCGATTTTCCTTTCAACGACTGGAATCCATAAATTTGGTCTCATAAAAGTTACTGCCACGATCACTCCCGTCGATTCGGAATCGTAGAATTACGTTGACGACAAAGTCGAAACATCATGTTCAAGTATTACAATTACTCAAGTTAGGAAATCAACAGATAAAAACTGAGAAAATTAAATTATCCTTACAGATAAACCTGACATGAATGTCTTTATTTTGGGGTAGTAAAGATAAACATTTAATGACAAATAAAGAGAAAGCTTAGCAACATGTTTCCAAATGGCGTTAACTGTAAACGTGATTCTAAATCTCTATACGCCTGCGTTCGCATGGAAGTTCTCCAACGAACCAATGGGGCAGGAATGGTAACAATTCTTTCCGGTCCGTTTTACCACCGCTGCTTTACTTCCAAAAATCACTAGCTGATCCTTTTTTTAACTACCGTTCATCCTTTGCACAGATACCAGGAAATGAATTTAAGACTTTTCAAGACTTTTTTCCAAAACAATAATTTCTTTTTCCAGACTCAAGATTATCAAATAGGTCAGTGATCAACAGAGACCTTAAAAAAACGCAGGAACAAAGATTTTTTTCATGATAGGCTGCAAACAAACGGGCGAAATGAAATAAGATTTGACCAAAACGAAAAACATTTCACTCATCAAGCACTATTTGTTGTAGCTTTGAAAAAAAAACTCAAGATTTTTTTTACTATTTTTTCAGACTTCAGCTCCATTTTCGAGACTTTTTGCAGGTCTGGAAAATTTCTGAAAATTGATGCTCTGTACGATCCCTGAGTGTTGTACAAGGTATTTCACTCCATAACTTGCACGTGTACACCACCGTTCAGAGAGCTACTTCGGGTTCCATCGGGGATGGATTTTGATTTTCGTCACTATCCAGACCTTGGTAGTACTTCTGATTGGTGAAGGCAAATTTCTAACCAATCAGAAGTACTACCCAGATCTGGGTAGTGACACGTCATCAGTATGGAATTTCTGCTCTCGTTTCTCAGACGTCACTTCGCGGGGAAACCAGTGGTGGCGTCGCGAAATGTCGGCTTCTTTCCCAGGCTAAGCTGGGTCATTTACGAGTAGAAATGCCACTACATTTGATGCACGTATCATGGCAGAAAGGCTCTACGTATATACGCGTGACAGAAATTAATGTGGGACGATGCTATTAAGTAAGGTGATGGTTAATCCTAACAGTATACAGACGAGACCTATTTGTATTGGGAAGCAAGTAGTTGAGTCTGTGAAGACATACAAACTACTCGGAGTAACTATTAAGGAAGATCTTAAATGGAACTCACATGTAGACTGTATCATTGCTAAAGCCGCAAAACGTCTGATAGGATAGAATGTATTCAAAAGAGAACACTCAAAATTATATATCCTGAATGCACAGCTTATAATCAAGCCCTTTTAGAGGCAAAAGTCTCATCTCTAGCAAAAAGAACGGTTTACCTGTGTCGTCGATTTGTCTGTGACGTGGCTAGCAATCACAATAATCATTCCTCATTCCCAAAACTGAAACAAGATCTGTCTGTTATAATACAAAGAACAATAAACAAATTGAGAAGAACTAAGAGAGCCGACGAATTTTTTACATTATGATTACTAGTACAACTGTATACTCCTACTGTAGTTAAGTTGTATCTTTTGGATTGTATACATATCACTTGTTCATTCAGTATTTTTTAACTGCAAGAAAGTGAAATAAACTATATTTATTATTTATTATTATTGGCCTCAACAGTGTGCATAAACCTTTAGCCAGGCCGGAATGAGGGAAGAAAAAGCCTCCTTGAAATTAAGCTTAGCTTCTTTATAGGGTTAGCTTTTTGCCAGGGTACTTACCCAGAAAACTATAGGCTGAACATTGGCTTACAGGAGCTGTGGCACGAAATGTATTATAATTCAAAAAGGGAGAGCTGCCAGCAAAGTGAGTAAAACATAAAATAAAGCCTCAAAACACTAACATAAGGTATGAAAACACAGCAAATACAAAAGGACCCGGCGCATGAATGGACAAACATGAAGAAGATTGAAACGGTTTATAATTGTTTGTTTTAAAAAAAGGTTTTTCAAAGTTCGTTTTTGTTGTTTGTAACGTTTGATATACATAATGCTTTTGTAGCCTGCGTGACAGGCGCAAAAAGGGGAGGGAGAGGGTGAGGGAGAAAAGCACGAAAGAGGGGAAAGGGAAGGGAGCGCCTGCTGTAAGAGTCGGTGTTTTTGTAATCCGCCCACCATTTTCTCAACTAATCCGATAATGTCACTGTCAATACGTGACCAATCACAAGTACGGGGCTTCTCAGCATGGTCCGAACTTAATTACTTTGTTTACCGGAAATTGTCAAGTTGAGACGCTTTTTTCAAGTGATATCATAATCGAGCGAAATGAAACATTTTTACTGTTCTTGCTCCCGCAGCAAACACGACAAACATAGACTACGAGCAGTCTCTCATTTTTTTACTGCTCGCAGTCTACGACAAACAATGATCAGTTTCGTGTGAATACACAAGACCTTTTATCTTACAATCTCATCAAGCACCGTGATGGTCACAATGAACAGAACACTGGCCAGCCTGAGACGCGAATAATGAAAGTAATGTACAAGTCAATTCCAAAACCGCCCATCCCCCCCGGGCAATCCCCGGGCATTTGACTCGCGTTAAGTTCCGTACAGTGGGGAATTTGACCCAAAATGATGCCCGCCCGGTGGGGCATTTGACTTTCGTGTCAAAACGTCTGTCAGCGGTCGGAAACAAAAGGATTTCGCAATTCTTTGATTGTCCATACCACGGGGGTTTTTCTGTTGTTGTCGTTTTTATATCGTGGAATGCATTAAACAGAGCAAGATGGGTTGAAAAGGCAAAAGCGACTCGGCAAAGAAAAAAGCAAGAGAAAAAAAATGACAC